ATTGCACCAAGTTAGTATGTCCTCAAGCCTTTCCTGACTTCTGCTGCAAATGCAATCTTTTCTATTGTAGCGTAGCTATTCTCATAGTGTTTCAAATAAAAAGACACTGGTATTCTAATTAACATGTACAAATTTGAGTTACAATATTTAGAGCTTTACATCTTTTGAATTTTGAAAGTTCAGATGTTACAATCTTAAGAATAAAATAAAATCAAGCAGTATTCCTACTGGGAGCAGATTCACAAGTTGTATCTATCATATTAAAATGAACAGGAGTAAAACACTAGAGGACAAAGTATGTTACAATTTATTTTTTCCACATATAAAAACTTTACAGTTGAAAAGTTTTACTTGATGACTATTTAGAACAGGGCTCATCAACTCCAGTCCTCGAGGGCCACTGTCCTGCAACTTTTTCATGCAGCTATCCTGGTCATCAACTTCATACACAATTCTGCTCAATTCTCATTCTCATCCTCATTCAGTGATCCATCTGGGTTCTCTCCTATTGAAGGGGAATTTCAACGGCCCAGTCAGTGAACTGAAGAAGTTGCGAACGTTGATATTCATTTTCTGCACTGTTTTAGAATTGCAGTGAAGTGTCTGACCGCACATGACAACTTTGGGGTGTGCTGTAGTGCTCAAAACAATCAAAAATCCTTTCTCAAGTTTTTGTTTGTTTGTTTCAAATAAAAACTGAACTAACAGCAATAGAAAAATATATTTTGTTCCTGGACAACCAATAGTACAGTGAGTTATTGGTGTACCTGAAAACGTAACTAGGCCTAATACGTTCTTTCAGCCTCACTGAAGATTAATTTTTCTCATCACTGAGAGATTAGCAAGCACCAGATTGGTGCAAATCTGGTGTAGTTCCTTAGTTACTGCAGTAGCAGTGTCAGATTTCCCTTGTAGTCAGCAGTGCAGCCATTCAGTAAGCAGGGATTCTGTTTCTCTACATCGTTTGTGTGTGGGCTCAAAAAATCCAGATTCCTTCATCAATGGCAGAAATGCAGAAAGAAATAACACTGATACATTGGCATCTGTTGTGTAATACTTAAAAACTACACACTTAATGTTTATTGTTATGTAAGAAGAACAATCATAGAAAAATCCCAAAAACATTAACTAATTGATCACCCTAAAAGGAACCTTCAAACTAGCTTGGGTGCTAGAAATAATCTTGCTAAAACCAATTGTGTTGCGTAATACCAAAATTTTACCTAAGTGATTGAAGCAAAACAGTTTCAACAGTAAATCTGCATCTACAGTACATGTGGTGCCTATCTCCAGTGCAACCCAAAAGTTGCCTGTCCATCCAGTCTTTGTCACAGGAATTATATATATATATTTAAGAGTTCATAAAAGTTCATTTTCCCAAGGCACTCAAGATGTTTGCCTTCATGAAGGAAGAAAACCTCTTCTGAGTCATGCCCTCTATGTTTATCAAATCTTCCAACTTTGTGAAGTGGCCCTGGATTTCCCTCCAGCCCAGGATGAGTTTGGCCTTTTTGTCGCCGATCTGCTCTGCACACAAACTCTGTGCAGAAAGACACTGCCCTAGTAAAAAAAAGTATATTTTAGTATACTAAATTTTAACATACTTTAGCATACTTTGATTGATGTACTTAAACTGTATTATTTTGGAACAACTAATTTTGTACTTACTATACTTTAGTCGTACTTAAGTTGTATAAAATTACAACTTTTAGTATACTTTGTATTAATTCACCATACTTTTTTGGAACAACTTCAAGTTGTACTTAGTATACTTAAAATATACTTTCAAATGTAATATTCAACAACTTCATTTTTATACTGAGTGTACTAATTCTGTCATAGAATTATATTAAAAATATAATTGGTAACACTTTATTTGAAGGGGGGTGAATAAGACTGTCATGACACTTTCATAAACATGACATAAACATGATCTGAACACGCTGATCCTTGCAGGGTGGTGAGGGGGGCTGGTGGTGCCCATCTCTAGCAGTCATCAGATGACAGGCAGGGTTCACCCTGAACAGGTCACCAGTTAGAACAACAATATCACAATATCAAAGTCTCTCTGTCTTATGGAGCTTAATTAAAACCATGTTAGTTTATGAATTAAAGTATAAGTCGCAACAAACAGCCTGCATGCAGCTATAACATGAAGCTGAATGATTCCTATTGTAATAATCATACAAGTCACAATAAAATTGATAAAATAATTATTTATGAAACCAACGTAAGTTATATATCTTCACTGCACTGTTTATAATTAAATGAAGATAATTAATAAGCAAACTTACCACCAGCTAGCAACACTTAGCAGCCTTCATCCCTTCGGGCTCCTTTTGTGACACACATTTCATTTCCATCGGTTGTCCCGTTGTGTTGTAACTCGGACTAGGATGTCACCAGCTTGAATTTACCAAAATTAGTAACTATTGTCAAGGCCCTCTCTACTTTTAAGGCAATATTATGAGAGTAAAAATGGCGAATTTGAACAGCGTAATATTCCCTGCGTTCTTCTTCTTCTTGTCGGTTTTATTGCAGTTGGCAACAAACTGTTAGTAGCATTACCGCCACTTACTGGTATGGAGTGTGGTTCGTGATGGTTTAAATATTTATCCTCATCTATATATACATATATTCTACTATGAATTATATCTAAACATACACTCACACATTCACACGTAAAAACACATACATACTTGTACACAACTTTGTATATCATGCCTTCACTCAAACACACTTACTATAATTAAATTCTATGAAATACTTTAGTTTTCTTTAGAAATCGAATAATTATTTGCATGTTTACTCCCTAAATTCTTCCTCAATATATCTAATAAATTAATCTTCTCCTTAATACTTTCAAACTCTCTCTTCATATATCTTCTCTCTTTTTTTATATTTATGGCATTCTAATATAACATGTTCTATGGTTTAATATTTATCACAGTAATCACATTTACCAGTTTTATGTTTTTGAATTTTAAAAAGTGTATAATTAAGTCCTGTATGTCCAAATCTTAACCTTGTTATTACTCTTTCCTCCTTTCTATTTCTTCTTCCGTTTCTTCTTTCTCCTACAATCTTCTGAATTTTATAAAACCATCTTCCTGTTTTATCTTCATCCCACCTTTTTTTGCCAAACTTTCATCAGGTTCTCTTTAACAATACTCTTTCCTTCAGCTTTACTTTTTTTTTAACTGTAAAACTAATATGATTTTTAATTGCCCTCTTTACCATTTTATCTGCCCTCTTGTTTCCTTCTACTCCAATATGTGCTGGAACCCACACAAATATAACTATTAAACCCATGTTTTGTATTCTGAGTAATGTATGAAATATTTCTAATAAAATGTCCATCCGACTATCTGTTTCATTATATTTTAAACTTAATAATGCAGAGCTTGAATCTGAACATATTATTGTTTTTAATGGTTTTATGTCTTCTACCCATTGTAAAGCTAATAATATTGCCAACATTTCTCCTGTGTATACTGATAATCCATCTGTAATTCGTTTTCCTATTTTTATATTGAATTCTGGTACTACAAACGCTATTCCTGTTTTCCCAGTTATTTTTGATGCATCAGTATATATTTGAACATATTGATAATAATTATTTAAATATAACTGCACTGAATAACTATCTACAATGTATGATTTATCTTGTTTCTTTTCCATTATTGACATATCTACTCTTGCTTCTGGTAGAATCCAGGGTGGTATAATTGATATTGGCATTGTTTGACTAATTTCTAACCTATTCATTTTAATTTAATTTAATTTTATTTTCAATTGTCCATCCAAAACTCCTCATTTCTTTTTTTTTCTTTTTCCCAACATGGATTTAAAATTTCTAGAGTTCTGTTTCTGTGAGAATTTTGACATTTTAGGGCTGGACTCCTTAAGTCGCGAGTTCAGTTTTCTTCTGGGTTCGATTCTCGGCCCGAGGTCTTTCTGCATGGAGTTTGCAAGTTCTCCCTCTGCATGGTGGGTTCTTTCCGGGTTCTCCGGCTTCCTCCCACAGTCCAGAAACAAGACAGCCAGGTTAATTGGTTTCTCTAAATTCTCCCTAGGTGTGAGTGTGTGTGTGTGTGTGTGTGTGTGCATGGTTGTGTGTTCTGTCTATTTCTGTGTTGCCCTGTGACAGACTGGCAACCTGTCCTGGGTATACCCTAGCAACACTCCCGACCACAATAGGGACAAGGATATCACAGTCTCTTCCTGGTTCTCTGGTATCATCATTGGATGCTCCTCAGCTATGGTCTCTGACTGTTCAAAGATCAGGTTCTCAGCTCTTTACTTCTCTTCATCTGGCGTGCAACAGCAATAAATAACAGACAGGAGAAAGGAAATTTGCCTGTACTGACGCAAGTTCATTTTTAATTCAAGTAAATGACCTACAGCTGCAATCAGTGTATTCAGACAGGGTTCAGAACTTTAAAGATCATCACAGCCTAGGGACACTGATGTTTTTAGCAACCCTCCAATATTACAAAGTGGCAACAACAAGCATGACTATAAACATTATTATGTGACTATCATGGCTAATTAAACGTATTAAGCACAGGTACAGTGTACAGGAACAATTAGCCTCCAAGAGGCTAATTTAGCTAGCTTCCACCGTATATTTTCCGGCAGAAAAAATGTTCCGGCAGAAAAAATGTTACAAACGTGTCTTCAACCATTCGCATCACAGTCCTACTGCCATTAAGTCAGTAATTTTATAACGTAACACTTTGGAGTTATTTTTGGTTTTAGAGTACAAAAACATTTTGACAGATGCAGATTTCTACTCACCGGAGTGTAAGTGTCGCATAGGATGACGTCAGCTTATTCTTCTTCTTGGGTTTTTGTGGGATCCGTCCTTATTTTTATTTCAATCAAACATATTAAAAGGTCCAATAAAATTAACCAAGTATGTTAAATTTTGGCATTTATTTTGAGTGAATTATTGGAAAAAATCCAAAGAAATAAAAGGCATATTGGAAATATAGGTTTTTAAAAAAGCGAACAAAAATAAACAAAACAAAAAAAATACGGTTTTAGATTTTAGTGAGTTGTTTTTAAATACCTAATTAAAATCTTATGACGGATACGTTTGGCTTTTGTATTTTTAGTAAATTCTTAATATCCTGTTCAAATTCGCAGATAAATTATAAATAAAGGTTTTTAAAAAAAGGTAAAAAAAAAAAAGGTTCTATTAGCGACAAGCGGCTGTTATCACCGATAGAATGATTGATAACAGCCTGCTAGTAGGCAGAGCAAGGACCAACTGAGGCGATTCAATGGGGCTGATAACCACTGATAATCACCATTCTATGGGATGATAACATCCGAAGCGGGTGAACCAGATGTGTTTTAGCTGCTGAACCATAAACTAAACATCCAAAGTCTATGTAGGATCTTATCATACCTGTGTAAAATCTGTTTTAGTGATTGTCTATCTGCTCCCTAGTCACTGCCAGCCAAACATTTCAAAATATTCAAAATTTTCTTACATTTATCAACAACTTTTTGAATATGTGTATGCCATTTTAATTTTTCATCAAACCATAGCCCTAAAAATTTTATACACTTTACCTGTTCTAACTCTTGATTATATAATTTCAATTTTATTTCCTTGTTTATTTTTTTCTGAGTAAATATCATTACTTTCGTTTTATCAACTGAGAACTTAAATCCTCATTGCAATGCCCCTTTCTCTATTTCAATAATAACCTCTTGTAATTTTTTAACAATAAAATCAACATTTTTCTCTCTTTTCCAAACAGCTCCATCATCTGAAAAAAGTGAACAACCCATGTCTTTTCCAATATCTTTAAATACGTCATTTATCATAATTGAAAACAGCAATGGACTTATAATACTCCTCTGTGGAGTTCCATTTACTACTATATATTTTCCTGAGATAACTTCTCCTATTCTAACTTGTATTTTTCTATTTGTTAAAAAAGTCTTTAATCCATTTAAATATTCTCCCTTTAATACCCAACTTGCATAATTTAATTAATTTAATTTAATTTCTACTATATATTTTCCTGAGATAACTTCTCCTATTCTAACTTGTATTTTTCTATTTGTTAAAAAGTCTTTAATCCATTTAAATATTCTCCCTTTAATACCCAACTTGCATAATTTAATTAATAATCCCTCCATCCACATCATGTCATATGCCTTTTCTATATCAAAAAATACTGCCACTACACTTTCTTTATTTACTTGTGCTCTTCTAATGTCATGCTCTAAACATAGTGTTGGATCATTTGTACTCCTCCCTTTTCGAAAACCACTTTGATATTTTGACATATATCCTTTACTACTTAAATAATATACTAGTCTATTATTAATCTTTTTTTTCATTATTTTACATAGATTTGATGTTAAAGCTATTGGTCTGTAGTTTTCTGGGTTTGAATTATCTTTTCCTGGTTTAGCTATTATAATTGATTCCTTCCAATTCAACGGTAATTTTCCCTCCTCCCAAATTTTACTATATAATTGTAATAATATATCTTTAGCTTTTTCACTGAGTTGCATTATCATTCTATACCAGATTTGGTCTTTACCTGGTGCTGTATTTTTTTGTCTTCTTAAGTGCATTATTCAATTCTGTTTTTGTAAACTCAACATTCAACAAATTATTTGTTTCTTCAACGCTCTGTAATAAATCTTTATATATAATTTTTGTATGTTCTCTTCCTTTTCTTCCCTTTTCACTAATATTATTTGAACTATGAATTTTACTAAACGTTCTTGCCAATATTTCAACTTTGTCTTTATCTCATCATATATGTATCATCTATTTTTAGTATAGGATATTCAAACTCTCTTTTTATACCATTCATTCTTTTAATTACTTTCCAAATTTTTTCAATTTTTGTTTCTTTCCCTATCGCATTACAAAAATTTCTCCAATATTCTATTTTTGCATTTTTTTATAGTTCTCCTTACTATTGCTTGTTTTCTTGTATAATCAAGTAAATTCTTATAAATTGGGTTACCTTTCAGTACCTTAAACGCTTTATTTCTTAACTTTATTGTTTCTTTGCATTCATTTGTCCACCATGGCACCATTTTCTTATCATTCTTACACCCTGATTTCTTTATAGAATTATCTGCTGCTTCCATTATTATCTTACAAATTATTAAATTTCCATCATTTATATCCATACTCATATCTACTTTTTCTAAGTTTATTTGACTCAAATATCTAAATTTAATCCAGTCTGCCTTATTAAAAATTTAACTTTTTCCCAAGCTTTATATTCTTATTATTTAAATTTAGTCCTACTCTTATTGTTATGGGGTAATGATCACTACCTATTGTAGATTTTTTTTTATCAATGAACCATTCACAAATACTAGCTAAAACATTTGAAACAATTGTTAAATCAATAGTTGATTCCATCCCTGTTCTTATATTGATTCTTGTTTCTCTTCCATCATTAATACATACTAGATTTTTCATTTCCATTAATTCTATAACTTGTCCGTTTTTATCATTACATTTACCCCACAAAGTACTGTTTGCATTAAAATCTACACACCAAATTACTTTCCCTTCCAAATATTCAGTTAACTCCTCCATTATATCAATCATTAATGTTTTACATGGATTATAAAAATTTATTATTTTGAATTTACCTTCTTCCCATATCTCAATTACCACATATTCTAGTTCTTTACCTTTTCCTAATACCTGATATTGTATCCCTTGTTTAATAAATATTCCACATCCTCCTCCACCTTCTTCTGATCGATCTCTTCTTACACTACCATATCCTTTAATCACAAAATCTAATGTTTTTAACCATGTTTCCTGAACACAAATAATTTCCGGTTGTTCTTCAAGCTCATCAATATAACCTTTAAGTTCCTGTCCGTTAGCGATTAAACTTCTTGCATTCCATTGTAATATTAACATGAACTGTTTTCACCTGATGGTCCTGGTTTCCTATCTTCCTCCAACTTTTTATTTATGTTCACCCATGGTCCCTCTTTAAAGCCCAAAAACGTTTCAGCTCCTCTCACTATTATTTTAATCTTCTCAGTTTTGTGTTTGGCTTGGTCAGTGCAGTTGATAACATAGGCTACAAATAATATTATTTTTTTCTATTGGTATTGTGACATTTTCTTCTGTCTGTACTTTGGATTGCTGTGCAGTTTGACTCACTGTTTGTTGAATCTCTTTTGTTTTCTGTTCCTTCACATTTTTAACTGCTTCTGCATAACTTATCTTTTTAGTTGTTTTAATCTGTACAATTTCTTTTGCCCTCTTCCTTACTTCACATCCTCCAAACGTGACTCTATGATTCTCTCCACAGTTACAATATTTTTCTTGTGTTTCTTCTTTACATTCTTCTAATTTGTGGTCTTCTCCACATTTTGGACATCTCTGCTTCCCTTTACATACTGCTGCTATGTATCCATACCTTTGGCATTTGAAACACCGAAGTGGTGGATATTTTTTGGCAACTCTTTTTCATCAAATTCAATAAGGATTGACAAACTTCCTACTCTTTCTCCATTCACTGTTTTTGACAATCTTTTCAAGTTATTCACTTTTGCACCTACAACACTTCTCTTAATTTTACCAAGGTCTTCATCTCCCATAAATCACTCCTCTAATGTTTTTATTTTCTCCCATGATTTTTTTTCTCCAGCACAGATCTTTTGCAAATGTTATCCACATTTAAAGCCTTATTCTTTTGTTCTATATTTTTACATACTACCAATAGGTTTCCATCTCTCAAAATCTTTACCATTTCAACATCTCCAATTTTCTTTTTAATTTCTCTTGACACCACAATGGGGCTGATTTTATCCTGTTCTTCCTCGTTTTTAAGTTTTAATATTACTTTAAATTCCTCCCTCACAACTTTCCTCCTCACTATCCTTTCTTCTTCTGAGCTACTTCCTTCCAGTTCCCGTTTACGGCCTTGGCTATCACCAATTCCTTTTCCTTCATCTATTTTATTTCTTCCACGGCCTCTCTCCCTCCTTCTTCCCACTGGCGTCCATCCTTCAAAATCTCCGTCTTTCTCATTTCCTATCTCCATTTCCATCCGAACCATTCACATACCAGTTTATGCCAAAACCACCTTTTCCAAAAGCGATGTTTGTGTTTTTGAATTTTCCGTGTCGGTCCAACAAAACAGTTGATCCTCCTTTTCGATCGACCAAGATTCGACCGATCTCTCTTTTTCCTTTTCTTCTTGGCCATCTTCCCTGCGTTCAAGTTTTTTCTTCTCTTTGTGGCGTTTTTTTTAAATAAATGAAAGTGTGCAAGACCGCCACCATCTGGTCTGGAGTATGAACTGGAGATAATGCCGTTAATTATACGGTTTTACATCACACATCTGAAAATGGATTGGGTACTTTCTTAAAAATTAACTCATGATTATCATTTTTTTATTGTATGCAATTTTAACAAATAATAAAAGATTATTAAGGCACTTAAAAATTCATACATATTCATTCATATTTAGTTCACTTAAAGTATACTTTTATTTAATATATTAAAAGTGTATTTTGGTACAATTATGTTTAAGTGTGATTAAAGTTCTAATTTCGAAATTGGTACAAGTATACGTTTAGTATACTTCAGATATATTTATAGGTAGTACACTTAATACTTAGTATACTTAAAATGTACTTTCACAAATATAAGTATGTTTGAAATATACTAAAGTATACTGTTTTTTTTGCCTGGGTGGGCCAGAATTCAAAGCCAGCAACTTTTTGCTGAGAGGCTACAGTGCTACCAACTGTGCATCCATAATCAGTGCAAAATTATATAATAAAATGTCAATGAAAAAAGACACAAAATGGTAAATAGTGTTAGCAAGTGGACAGCATGGTTTGTGTTATGGGTCCAGTTTTTAAAACTCAATGACCATTTTCATGTGAACAGCTTGCAAAGTTGTATTGCAAGGGTGTTGACATTATTTTGCTGATTAAACGAGTCTGTATTTTTTTTTTTTTTTAAGATTTTTTTGGATCTTGTGGCCTTCATTTGATAGTTAATTGACAGGAAAGTGGGTAATGAGAGAAGGGGGATAGACATGCAGCAAAGGTTGCCAAGGCTGGGAATCGAACCTGCAACAGCTGCGTCGAGGACTAAGGCCTCCATATGTGGGTTGTGCTTAACCCCTGCGTCACCACAGCACACCCGAGTCTGTATTTTTAACAACAATCTATGTCTGTCATGTTTTACAACTGTGCATCTTCTGCTCTAAGCTGAAGAGACGAGAGCTCAGTTTAGCATATTAATCTTTAACAATGTCATAACAGTTGGTAATTTCCTGACCCACTGCAGAATCCCTCACAGACATAAGTAACAGTTAAGAAAGTTTATCTACAAAATATCTTCCCAGTTAGGAATAAAAGCTGCATGTTAAATACTTGATCAAACTATTATCCCACCAGTTCCTATTTTAATTTAAAACAATGCAATCCATCATAATCCAAACACACACACATGCACATGCACACACACACACACACACACACACACACACACACACACACACACACACACAGAGTATGTTTTTCTGTCTTCATAAGGAGTTTGTATTCACTTCCATTCATTATTCATTAATTTCTATGACCTTACCCGGACCCTAATCTTAAACCTAACTATTGCTGGGTTTCGGATGACGTAGCACCGATGTAGCCCAATGCAGATTGGGGGTGTTAAGGAAAAATGAATATTTTTAGTGTTTAATACAGTTAATCTTACGGCATGTGAAAAAGGTATATTGACCATGGCCATTTTGAACAAATTTCTTAATTTAGAACAGGTTTTGTGTTAAAGATTTAAAACTAAAACTATTGATGGGTAAGTATTCAACTTACGGGAAGGAAAATAGAGATCAAAAGGGAACTCTCACTGAGGCTCCTGTTGTGTTATCAGAGAGGACAAGAGGCCATAAAATTAGCATCTCCAGGAGGGCAGTATCACTTGGATGAGCGTGGGAGAGAGAAGTTTGCTCGGTTCACAGAAGATCAAAAAGTCTTCCAAAACTAACATCTGGGACGGTGTAAAACTGAATACAACATAGAATGTTTAAAACCACTAACATTTAATTTGTAAGACATTTTTCTTAGTTATTAATCGCATGCTCTGACTGAAAATAGTTTAATCATAGTTTTAGAATTACTAATTTAGTCAGTGATGAATGTATTTTGAAATTATATTATCTGTTACTATATTGGAATCAAATGGAAATAGTGTGAATGAAAATGTTTTGTTAAGTATTAGAAAATTGCTCAGGTTTATGGTGAAAGGGTTTTGGAAAATGATTGTGTTAATTTTTATACTTAGGATTGAATATTATGGTAAGAAAAAGGAATTTTACCCCATTCTGTTTTGTTGATTTTATGTATTACTTTTGGTTTACGCCAAGACTCATTCTTTTGAGGTGCTGAATGCAGAAGAATAAAATTAGGTTTGTGGAGATAACCTTTGCTTCAACTTTCTACAGGATTTTAAGTTTCTTCCTGAGGTATCTGAGTAGGGAGAAAGCGGGAGAGATTCCAGATTTCACACCTATCTGTGAAGTACCTTTCTCTGTTTTTCTTTGACCAGATAGCCTTAAAACAGCAGGAGTTCAGGAGAAGCTCTGCTCTCACTTTGCTTAAACAAAGGGGACAAAATGGCCTTTGATCTTGGAAGCAAATTGTATAGAGGTTCTAACTTTTAAGAGGGTCCAAGATAGCTTCCAGTTGGTCAAGCAGAGGTACGCCTTATTTGAATATATTAAAGAGGAAAAACACGCCTTTACTATAAAAGTTTGTACACAGGTTGTACACAGGAGTAACAAATCAGATTGCTGCCTTATTTTGCTTTTTTGCATCAGCACTCTCTAAAGACGTGTCTTTGCCTTCTTTTTCTCAGGTAAATTAATGTATGTCTCTGTTGTTCTGCAGTTTCTGTTGTAATTTGCATAAGTTGTCTTCTATTCGATTAAACTCTGTAATTCTGTGACGTCTGCACTCGTTGTTTTCTGTGTGGCTACACGCGGCCCGCCGGCAGTGGCGCAACTGCACATTAGTCAGGTGGATGCGAAAACATAAATCGTCCCCCCATCCCCACCAAACTTGGTGAATCTCTTCTGGACATTCTCATAGTCGGTTATGACTCAATTCATTGTGGTCACTTAAAAAAAGAACAAAAACAAAAAACAATGTCATCATATTTCAGCATTTAGTTAAATACCATTTCAAAAATGTCCCTTGCTGCAGACTGTCAGAATGGTAGACTGGCAGACAAATGCCTAGTTAACATGACTGGTTGTTATAAAGTGCAATACAATTATTTCTTAATACAAGTGGAATAATAACTAAAACTGAACAAAATTATTCTGATCAAATATTTGTCTGGCAGAAGTTCAGACAGACTGCCACTGTTATTTAGAAAGCATCATTTAATGTATAGTTTTAGGCAAATGACTGTATCTTTTTACTTAATGAGCATTCTAAATTATTTCTAACCAGATACTCTAACTTAGGGTTGTTTGCAAGAAGCTTATTAATAAATAAATAGATTTAACATCAGTTTTAGTTGTCTAAAACGTAACTTAACTCAGCTGTTGATTCCTGCTCCCCATTCCCCACTTACCTGGCTGTCCCACCCCACTTCACACTTCACATGGTGAAAATATTAACACAAAAACGACTTACCTAATTTTCTTGGGGAATATTTCATCTGCTTCATTCCCTTTGTTCAAACAGGAACTTCTTTCTCTGGTGGCTGGTCCTTATTATCATCCTCCTCCACACTCGTAGCATGTCTTCATTAGCCAACTTTGTCCTCCCCACCATGTGTCCTTAGGCTAGCCTAAGTCTTCATGTGGCTAAACTTGCCAAAGCAAAGAACACAAGGACCATGTCACATCAGCCAAGTCGCTAAATAATGCACATGAAGGATAACTTTGACTAATATATTAGCTTTTAAGTTGCTACATTAAAATTGGAGGGGGAAAAACAATTTGCCTGTCTTTAAAATATATTTAATATTAAGGGCTAACGTTACAGTAATTGTGTTTAATAACTTTAGCTAACATTAACTTACAGCAAGGTAGGATTGGCTTGAATTGCTTATAGCTAACATTACAGAGAAAGAGAACATAGTCAATGTTATTTTCTCAAAGAAAATGTAAAGTTAATAAGACACATACCTCATATGTATTAGGTATCAAACTTCGGCTTCTTTTTAAACAGGAGGTCTGGCCGTTATAACCATAGACATAATATAAGAGTAGACCCCACATTGGCCGCTCCAGCACAGGAATTACGGCGGCCATCTTGGAGCGGTATACCCTCCTACTTTGCTCAATCAAAACAGCAGAAGATGCCTCAGCACTGAGGGATATGGACCTTACCAAGCTCCGCCCAGAAACGCCCCCTAAAATCCCACGTGGCTGCATGTCTCACAAACAAAGCCTCACGGAGCTTAGTTTCTATGTGTAAACATGGCGTCTTTCATTTCGACTGACTCTCTGCAGAGTATTTCTGAGTCGATTAGTGTAGCATTTCTGCCGGATTTTCAAAAAATATCAGCCACGACAATGGACAGGGGAACCAACAAGTTCATGTCATCTTTTTTGGACGAAATCAAGCTATTTGAGCCACGGGATGCCTCCAACATTGTGTGCGTCACAATGTTGGAGGCATCCAATATTGGATGCTGTTTCGATGCTGTTTTCCACATCGACCCCGGTCGATGTGGAAAACAGCAGATCTTCATACCCTCAGCATAAATATAGCTGTGGACAAGATCACTGATGCCAATTGTTCTTGCAAGGCTGGGTAAGTCGGGCATTTATGGTTTTGAGGGTTATTTTTGAAACCAGTGATTTCTGTTGGCAAATGTTCGAATGTGCCTAGGCCTGATGCACTGTACTCGGTGTTAGCGCGGCTAACACGATTACAGTTTAGTAAAAAGCCTTTTCAGGTAAAATAAAGTCTTTAATGTATGTCTGATACGGTACACATTGCATATTGATCTGTTCAGCTAACGTAAGACTGTGTAACAGACAGGCTTCAAGGTGTAGAAGTTGTATCGGTACATTATGCTGTACTTAGCTAAAAGGTTTTCATAATGGATGTGTTAATTATTGACTTTCTTTTTTTCAGACTTGGTGGTCATTGTTCACACATAGGCCTCCTTAATATATTTAAAACTTCAAAATTATTACAATATGTCTATCTTATTGATCCTACGACGGTTGAGCTGCAAATGCGGTCGTGCACAAGCTTTGATCCAAGCAAGGCTTTCCGTTTCAGATTTTGGAAATCTGTGAATTTTAGTTCCATAAATACGATCAGGATGCCTGACATCGTCTGTACAGATACCCCACTGACGGTGGAGAACCATTCTTTTGAGTTCTGACGCAAAACCTTTTGCAAAACCTTTCTGCCGGTCTGCTAGTCCACAATGTACGTTAGCATTTTTTTACTACTTTAGCTTGTGTTTGTGAGACGGTCACGCACGTGGTAGCTGCGCTGTGACGTAAAATTGGCATTAGCCAATGAAACGGGGCCCCTGTGGTAAGGTCCATTGGTGTTCGGATCTATGGATTATTGATGGGAGGGCTCCACAGCAGCAGGGGGCTGAGCGCAAATCGTGACACCGCACCTACTAATGGCACTTCCGGTGGCAGGTGTGACACCTGCCACATGTGCCACTGTTTTCGGGACTAGCTGCCAGTGCTGCCACTGCGTTCGGCTGACTTCGGCTGACCTCGGCACCTCGTACTGGCA